GATGTACAGAAGTAATGGCAATGTTTTAGGCTTTACAGAAATCCTTTTTTTCTTCTCTCTCTTTCCTGTATTCTGTATATAAAACAACAAAATACGACACTCGGTTGGTGTCTGCCTGTCTGTCGAGACCCCAGGAGCTCTCTCTGTCTCTCTCTCTCTCTCCCCCCCCCTTCTATGGCACAAGCACCCCAAGCCGTGGGGGGCGGAGATGTCAGCTTGTAGAGAGATGTCTTTGCTGCACACCCCCCCGTCATTCTGCACCTCCAGTTTCCAGAACTGCCCCTTTTCTGTGCCAGCCTCCGGACAGAAAAAAAAACCAGCTGTATCTCCTTCACTGTGTGAAGACTGTGCTAACCTTGTGGTCTCCGGAGGAAAGGATCCCTCTTCCCCTTCCTTCCTCGTTCCCCCCCCCCATCTTTTTCTGCTCCACGGGACAGGGTATGCTGCGAATTGTGGGGAAGGAACAACTGCCCCTCTCGGAGGCCCCCCCCCGGGATGGGGTGGAGGGGTGAGGAGGCTACGAAGGGACCCCTCTGACTCTTTTTAGCCTCCGACCCCCTCTTGCCCTCCAAGGGGAGGGGAGAACTGCTGCCACTGCTGCTGCTGCGTTCTTAAATCTTTTTAATGCTCATTTTTGATCAGGCAATTCCTGCCCTTTCCTTTTGTATAAAAGCTGGACGTTTTCATGTTCCAATGGCATTAAGTCTGTATTAATAAACCCTCATATGGCTATTAAAAGAAAGAAAGAAAGAAATCATCAGGCAGCGCTGGGCCTGCACCTTCCTTCTTATTTTGCTTTGCTTTGGAGCCGTGGAGTCCGGCGGCTTCTTCGGGGAAACGCCACGCCCTCGGTTCCCCGGCCACCGGATCCAGGGAGCCAGAGGCTGGCCACCCACCCACCCTGGCCGCAACGGGCCATCCGCCGGGACAGGAGCCACCACGCTTCCGTCTTGGGCCCGAAGGTGGACCAGAGGCAAGAAGGCAGGTGCGTGGCTCCGTCCACCCTCCTCCTTCGAGGTGACCCGACCGCTCTCTCTGTTCCTCCTCGCCTCGGACGCTGAACGGGGGGAGTCCCCTGGAGGTCCTGTACCGGACTGACCCACGTACGAAATCTAGGAAGGAGATGCCGACTAAAGGCCAGGAGCTTTCCAACAAGCGAAACAGATCGTCTCCGGAAAGGTGCCGGGCTCTCCTCCTCTGAAGGCCCGTGATCCGGCTTAGGGCAGCGGCCTGCTCGCGGGGCCTTTTACGGGAGAGTCGATCAGCTGTTCCAGTGAGCCGAGGGGCTGGTGGGCTCAAGGGAGGTGCCTCTGGGGCAGGCCAAGCGCGGTCCCTTCTGTCGGCTTAGGTAGGAGATGCACGCGAGGGGACGGCTTGGCTCCTGTTTGTGTTTCCTAGCCATGCGGGAGGAGGAGGAGGAGGACTCCCGGGGAGCGGGGATTTGGGGGGGGTCGCCTTCAGATGCCCCATCTCCGCTGGCTGATGGTTTCTTTTTCTTTGGCGTGCACCCAGCAGGTTGATCGCACTGTAAAAACACAACTGGAGGGACAGAGATTTGTGTCGGGACTCTTCCCCCCCCCCCTCCTCGGTTCTTCCTCTCGGGCTTAAACTTCGAAGCCTCGCCCGCCCGCCTGCTGGGACGGACCTTTCTCGAGCTTTTTCCATGCCGGCCGAGACCTTTCTGCGGGAGGAGGCTTTCCACCCCCGGCCAGGCTTCTTCTTCCTCCTCTGTAGCTCTCCCCGGAGATCCTCCTCGGCCACTCCGTCCTGGCTTCGTTCCCCGGTCCCCTCCGAAAGCACAGCGCCGGCCTTTCCCGGCGAGAAAAGACCCCTGGGAGAACTTCAAAAGGAAAGAAGGGCATCGCCGTCCTCGGTGGTTTTGAGGTCTGCAGCCAAAGAGTCTTCGTCCTCCACTTGAGAGAGAGAGAGAGAGAGAGAGAGAGACCCACCGCGGGCCGCCTCTTCGGAAGGGGCTCCGAGGGCCA